AGCAGCAGCAGCAGCACTGTAAATGTCGGCGGTGGAGGAGGAGGAAGCAGCAGCAGCAGCAGCACTGTACAAGTCGGTGGCGGAGCCAGTGGTGGTGGTGGTAGCAGCAGCAGCAGCAGCAGCTCCACCATCAACATTGGAGGTGGCTCTGCTGGAGGAAGCTCTGTCTCTGTAGGAGGATCTTCTGCTGCTGGAGGTGGATCGGCCAGCGCGGGCACTGGAGCTGGGGGGTCCATCGCCACCGGAATAGACCTTGGCGTGGAGGGTGATGGCGACTACACCGACCTGGATGGGTTCAAGGAGGAGCACATCACCGACTATAGCGATTTAGAAAACTATAACGACTATGACGAGCTGGATTACGACAAAGAGCGCAAGCCACTGCCTGCTGAGACCGATGAGTATTATGGACAGGTGAACATTTCATGGGAGGACAAGATCTTGAAGATGAGGAGGATTGCATGATGATAGAGGAGGGGGCTCTGATCATGTGTGTGTGTCTGTGTTTGGTGTGCAGGTCGACGGAGCTCGTGGCGAGAAGGGACAGAAGGGAGAGCCTGCTGTTATTGAGCCTGTGAGTAGTCACTGTTTGAACAACATAGTTGGGCAGCAGATGTAGGCTGCATATGGGCGTATGTTTATATCTACAAATACATATGTGTGATCCACATCTAAACACAACCCACCCCTCACTTCTGAATCCCGAGGCCCATCACACTCATTCAAGAACTTTCCCATAAGTGTCTATGGGCAAGGCCTGGTCATCGGGACAACAGCATAAACATCTCAAGAATGGCCATGCAAGGATTGTCAATAATCTTTAAACACAGAGTGGGTAGTGTGTAAACAGAAGAAGTACAAGCAGAACAAAAGCTTTTTTTCCCTTCCTCTCTTAAGCTTTGTTTAAATACAAAACAGGTGGAAAACATCCAACCCTCATTCTCACATACAGGTGACATTGTGAACATGAGGACGCCTCTTTTTTGTGTGTTGGCAAACGTGCATCAGACGTGGGAGGAATTTACATCTCCATGCACAGCTACAGTATATACACAGCTACAGCTGTTTCACTTCAAACAACTGTCACTGAGCTCCACGGAGTTTACAAGCCTCAGTGAGTGAGTGTCTTTGTGTTTATACGTGAGAGCAGGACAGAGGGCCTGCTTCGAGTCTATATCCTCGATGTCTGTTTGCTTATGTGTGTGTGAGACTGTGTTTGAGGACACCAACAACTCTGAGTTCACATCACCACCCAGTGTCTCTCGTCTCATGCAACCTCCCTTGAGGTTTAGCCCATTTTCCCAGCACACAAACTGCAGGCAAAATTTAGGCATAACCCAGGGAGTGTCAAAAAGATCAAATGGGGTAAATCTTATGATGAAAACGCTTGAGGGTGCAGCTTTGGGGGTTGATTGAAAAAATGGAAGAAACAAAAGCTGAGATCACATAATTCACATGAGTTTGGATAATGTGCAGGTTTCTGTCCTCCATAACAAAGCAGGAAGCCAAATGTTACCACAAGCACAAACAAAGCAATATCTCTGCAGCCACAGAGCAGCGACAATGTGCCTGCAGGTCCACACCGAGCTGAGATGGCCTGTTGTTTTTCACTGCAGGGAATGTGCATATGGTAGAGAAACACTACAGTCAAATAAGTGTATTTCAAATAACAGGCACATGCATACACTAATTATTTATAGTATTAAACTAGAATATCACATAGTAGAGTGCATACCTCTGCCCAACAGTCCCCTTATTTAAATTTAATTTGGATCTGCACCAAAATTGCACACATATTCGTGTCAGTCCAATAACGTTTTATTATATTTTAAATCAAGATCTAGGAATTATTCCCAGACATGTCAACAAAAATCAGAGGGATTTAGAGAAAATACGGAAAACGCCCCATCTTGCAGGGAAACAAAAATGAATTAAAAATAAAATTTACTAGATCTGGATGTGCACCAGAATTTAGTGGGTTTATCCCTGACCCATATCCCATTATATCACCAGGTTTCACGGTAATCCAATCAGTAGTTTGTGTGTAATCCAAACTAACAAACAAACTCAGAAAATCATCACCTCTGTGGCGGAGGGAACAAACTGTGCTTTCCTCAGCTCGTCCAGGTAGGCGAACACCTGAGGACGTCTTCACCTCAGCGCCTCTGCAGTCATTCGCTCTCGTGTTCTCCGTGGATTAATTGCAAGCATGAAACTGAAATGACAGGCAGGAATGTCCATTAAGTCAGCTAAGACACAGAGGTAGAGAGTTGCCAGGCAGCTGTGTTGGAACACGTATTCATGGACATTCAACGGCCTTAACTGAAGCTGTGTAATAATGGACAGGGGACTTTTATGGTTTCTGATGATTTTTTTGTGTTTTTCTGTTACAGGGAATGTTGGTGGAGGGTCCGCCTGGGCCTGAAGGGCCAACAGTAAGTCAGTCTGTCACGAATTATGTCACCCTCAGCCTCTCCCTCTTCATTTCCTCTGTTTTCAAATCCTCCTTTTCCCCTCTGTGCCTTTCAATCACTGGCATTTTCTTTGTGATCTGTGTCCATTAAATAAAAGCTGATAACAATTTATATCCCCTATTGTTTAAGGCAGTCTACACATTTGAATAGGAAATTTCAACTTTAAAGCCTTGCTCTGAAAAAATCTCTGGCTGCCTGATCTCTAATGCAAAGGGAGTGGCCAAAGCAGTTTCCCCTAAAGAGATACGGACTTTTCCGCAGATGTTGGAGGAGGTTAATTATTTATCTAGGGAGATTTTTTTTTTTCCAGACACAGTTGCTCTTGACACCCTGCAGATGGAGTCCCACAGAGGCGAGCCACTCAGGCATCGAGTTGTAAACAAATAAAAGAGCGCCTCACAAAAGGATTTACAACTCGACAGGCTGCCCCACATTGCCTCATGCATTCCTTTCCCCCATGTGTGACCACTTTGCAAGATAAAGTCGAGAACTTTTAACAGAGCGAATATGACTGTTCACTTATGTATGTATGCGAGTCAAATGAGATCTTTTGCTTTAAATAGGGTCTGCCCGGACCCCCGGGTGCTTCTGGCCCACCAGGCAGTCCTGGAGATGTAGGAGAGAGGGTGAGTCTGAACTCTAATGTCTCACAGATTTGCAGAGATATAAAAATACAGAATTCTTGTACATTTCTTTCTCTCTATCAATCTCTGTGTGTGCTTGTGTTTGTTATTTCCCATCTAAGGGTCCTCCGGGTCGTTCTGGTCTCCCTGGTGCTGATGGTCTGCCAGGACCCCCTGGCACTGTCCTGATGCTGCCTGTAAGTAAATTACGGTTGTTAAAAACTGGTTAAAATGAACAAAAGCAGGATTCCCACTCTGTTATTATACTCCTAGTGGTTTCATATCCATGTTTGGCCACGTTCAAAGCCTCGTATGATGTATGTTTCTCTGTTTTATCAATAACGCTTGACTGTGGTTTACACAGTCTTCTGGAATGAAGGGAGGCTACCTTTGAAATCATTATTGATGGACGTCCATGACCGTGTAAATATTGTGTAATGTAAAAATGTGCTCTAGCGGCCCCTTGTGGCGTGTTTAATAAGTTTTCTATAGTGTGTTTCGACTCCATGTATGCAAATCTACATATTACAGGACTTTCTGTTTTCCACATTCCTCAGCCAAAGTTGAAGCTATCAGGTGGCTCCAAGGAAGTTGTCGAGCTTTAGACAGGAAGCAAAGCGGCGCAGTCCACCGCAGCACTTACACAGACGTCCTAACTACTTCCTATGCCGTCTGACTTCTTGCTCTTTACTTTTTTTGGAAGACTTGACACCGTCGCTGTCGGACCTGATTAGTTGTACAGATGTGAAGCTGTGATTTCAGTGCTGCACAGAGCTGTCTGGCCCGAGCCATGTGGCGAGCTCTGTCTGGACAGGAACTCAAGTTGTCCTGGTGCGTCCACTGGCAGGGAGCCACGACTTGAAACCCGATTCCTTGAGCTCCAGGCCTAATGAGAAACATGCATTGTTGTTTCACCAAAGAAACTTGGAATTGACACAACAGGATTAATTGGCAATTCTTAACATTGCCTTGTTCCACTTAGTTTTATACAGAAGCAATGTATCCTCAGTGCTATGTGGAAAAAACATAATGTAATTCCCACTAGAGGTTTTTTTTCTCTCTGCTTTTCCATTTAATAATGTGCTGTGGAAGAACATTCTGTTCAAAGTTTAATGTTGCAGAGGAACATCTTTAATGAAATGACATAAAGCACGAGTGAGATTAAGAGAGAAACAATCAAATATAGACTAAAAAAGACAGGAATAAAAATAAGAAATAGCCAAATACTGTGGATTTGATGTGAAAGCAAATAGCCAAGACTTTTAAGAAATGTCTATCTACGAAGTAACTGTGAGATTTAGTGTGAATAGTTTGTGCTCTGGATGAATTTGCTATGTAGTGGATGAGCTGCAGTGGATGTGACTCAGCCCTGATGTTCTGAATCAACAGTCTTATATTTTGAATCTTGGCAACAATGCTTCACTGATAGTGGAATTCACAATATTCCTCTGGCATGCTGCTGTACATCTGTAAACCAACCAGCAGTCAGCCTCCTGAGGACTGAGCTCTGTTCCCAACCCAAGATGCCTGGTCTCTGAACATTTTCACACCACCCAGCCCTGGATTTTCTCCTGTGGTGCAGTGCCTGCTCATCACCACCAGATGCCAGTAGAATGAGAAGTTCATGGCTGCAGAGGCGGCCTTTGATGCTGCTGCTCTGGCACCTGGAAGCCGATGCTCAGTTCAACATCTGTTGCATAGCTTGAGATGGGAATTACTGACGATATTGTTGGAAATAGATGAATATTCAAAGTTCAATATTTAATTTGCTGCAGGATTTGCCAGTATTTTAGTAACTCCAAATGTTGCACTGGTTTGTATTTTTGTGTCTAAAGTGCTGGCACAATACTCACTGGAATGAAGTCTTGACAAGCTTTGATTCCCTCCACAGTTCAGATTCAGTGCTGGAGGTGACTCCGGACAGAAGGGACCTGCTGTATCAGCACAGGAAGCCCAGATGCAAGCGATCATGCAGCAGGCCAGGGTAACAGCTCACACATAAAAACATCCTCACACTGGAGCACTCAATATTATTCACTATTCTCCAAATTGCTTATCTTGTTGAAATACTAGTCTTACTTTTCCTTATTGTATAGATGATCTCTGCTGTTAGTATTAGCTGCTCAATGTTATTTTTTATTTAAATATATTTATCATTTATTTTTGCATTATTTCAAACTGTTTTCAATAATTTTCAATTATAGAACATTTATAAGGACGCAAATACATGTACAGCACACACAAATGGATAAATACATGAAATATTCAATTATAAATCTGCTAAAAACAGCTTTTATTATCTTATGCATGTTCCTGACTTTGTTTTTCGTCCTGTTCATCTTTTCCCTCCTGTCATCAGTTGGCGATGCGGGGCCCTACAGGTCCAATGGGTCTGACTGGAAGAACTGGCCCTCTGGTATGTATTTCGAATCCTCTCACCACAGACTCAAAATCAATAGAAATTCCTTTGTCAAAGATTTTATCAGCATTTATTATAGACCGCAGCACAGAAATGAATTGGACATGTGGAGTTTGAGGCCAAGTTGCAAACTTATATCTTGATTTTTTTTCTTCTCAGGGTCCACCAGGTGTATCAGGACTGAAGGGAGAGTCTGGAGAGGCAGGACCCCAGGTACAAGATACTAACATTGTTGTGTTTTTAAAGACGGAAATATCTAAAGCTAAACAACCCCCTTCTGAAACCAATGTGTATAATGTTAAACCATTAAAGTAAAATAACTGAACTATTTAAAGTAGAGCAACATTTTTGTTCATTTTTGTTCAGAGATGGTTTCAGAAATATAAAATGCAGAAAAATAAAGAAATGCTTCTGTGTGTTTCTTTCAGGGACCACGTGGGCCCATGGGATCCCTTGGACCCCCTGGAAAGCCTGGCAGAAGGGTAAGATTCATCAACAGTATATAATGCAATACGTATCGCCTGACACTTTTTTTGGAGTGCTTTAAAAGGCAGGTGTATTCTAGCCATTATGGTATACTCCTTAATTATCAATAGGCCACATATTTTGAAACTGTTGTTTTGTATTTTTTAATAGGGTCGCTCTGGAGCCGATGGCGCCAGAGGAATGCCCGGACAGCCTGGAACCAAGGTACCTTGTCCATCATAGTCATCACTCCTTCAACACTTGATTTTCTACTTCAAGTTTTTTGACTTGGCCTGGACAGGAAGTACTCACAGTTTTCTTTCCTTCTCTTCAGGGAGACAGAGGGTTCGATGGTCTAGCTGGACTTCCTGGTGAAAAAGGACACAGAGTAAGCTGGTTTTGGGTTCTTTATACAAGTGTGGTGGCAACTGCGTGGGTTAGATGTGACACTGTTAAATGTTAATTTTTTTTTTTATAGGGTGAATCAGGGCCGTCGGGACCTCCTGGAGCTCCTGGAGAGGATGGAGAGAGGGTAACGGAGAAAAAACACACACTTGTTTTTCCTTTATTTCCATTATGTTACATTAACCTCAGACTGCTGCTAGAACTAAATATCTAAAGATGTGTATATGCTTCTGTCTGATGTATAAATATCTATTCCTCCAGCTCATCTCCCTCAATACCCTCCTTGATATATCTCTGCACACCTTTATCTGAGTCTAATCTCCCTCTCTGCACTCATTATCAAGAACAGCTGATGCAACCTGATCCCCTCTTCCCCTTCTTTTTCTTTGGGCCTTCTCATTATCTCTCGCTCCGTGTAGCACACACACATCCTCACTTTCTCCCCCATTATTCTTCACTGTCTGTTCCACATTCTGACCTGCTCTCTCTCTCCCTCTTTCCCAGGGAGATGATGGAGAGATCGGACCCAGGGGGCTTCCTGGTGAACCAGTGAGTGATCACATGTATTACCGTTCAGCCTGATACTGAGGGGATTGCATGATGGAGATAGGATGTTGGCGTGCTGGGGAAGGATCATGGTCTGATGCAAACATCTATCAATTGCAAACTGCAGTCACTGTTCATATTCAGAGGTTTTTTGCCGTGTATTGCTGAGAAGTATATGTTGATCAGGTTTCATCTGTGCAAAAGAATAATCGGAGGTGGTGAAATACAAGCAGCCCACATCAGGCTTGTTATAATAGGTTCCCACTCTCTCAGGCAGGCATTTCCCAACGGAGGGGTGGGAACACAGGGAGAGAAACCATCAGATAGCTTTTTATATCCCCCTGTTATAATTGATTTTGTCCACCAGGGTGTGCTACATTGGTTTGAATTTACTCCTGCCAGGACTATATGTCTTGTTAGGTAACTGTAGCTGCGAGCCAAAGCCCAGAAATTCAAAGCAATGTTTGATAGGCATAGCTGTGGGGAATGCATGTGTAGTAGAGAGGAAAAAAGAAAGGGGCTTAAAGAAAAAAAATGACTCTGCAGAATATCCTCAAGGACATTTGGGGAGTCACGTTGCTTCCTGGAGTATAATTTTGAAACTTGATTTAGCCGAACATGTTCAATAATTCATCATTTCTTTCACAGGTGTGATATCATTCTCAGTGTCATTTCCTTTTTCTTTCCTAGGGGCCCCGTGGTTTGCTTGGACCAAAGGGACCTCAGGGACCTCCCGGACCCCCTGTGAGTCCCCATGTCCTCCTCTCACCTTTTCATACCCACCACCTGCTACCACAGATTTACTATTTTAGAGAGCGAAATCTATTTTTTATGATCTCATAGGCAGTGGGAGCAAAAGATGCTGCGGACAGCACCCACAGGGAGATACAAAACTCAATATGTAGCAGACAGTGTAGACAAAAAGAAGCGTACGTTATTGAATTTAACGTCAGTACTTCAGACAAATGTTCACAACAATCGTTTGTATTGTTTCAACAGATTTCATTTAACATGGACAGTGTGCATCACTACATTTACTCAGTTTAATTTGCCATAGCAGGATACAGAGACCTCACATTGGTAAAGTATGTTTTTTATGCATGGGCTGAATGTTGTGTTCATCTCATCTGCTGCAGGGTGTCACTGGGATGGATGGCCACTCTGGACCCAAAGGAAACATTGTAAGTAAAGCTGGAATTGATAAAGTTCTCAGTTGAAAAGATACTCTCCACTTGAATGTGTTTTTGAGCTGTCATTTAAATTATATGACTCTTGTCTGATTAAATACATTAACACTGGTTGTAATATCACATTTATTTTCAAATGTATAAAAGAAATCTACATTGATAAGTTGAACTTGGCTCATAATGCCACCTAGTGTTTCATATCCATATCGTCTTGGCCAATTCTTATGAAGAGTTAACCGTCCTTTCATTTGTATATATATTTTCCCAGCACTGCGTTCAAGGCAAACATTTTTGAATTTCCAGGCAGAGACACTCAACCCTAAACTTAAGGGAGCAGTTACAGTTTAATTATACAGTGCACCATTCATTTTCAAAATAAAAAACCCCAAAACTACCCACAAGCCATCACAGAACCCAAAAATTGCATCTATTTCACCAATTTCTGTTTATTTCACCCTCCAATCTGCAGAACTGCCTCGTGTGTCCTCTCGTAACCTCTCTCACACACACACACAATCAGAGGATACTTAACAGTTAATGAAGAACAGAGTGGTTGTATTTAGATCCATTTGAGCAGTCCACCACTGTCAGTTGTATTTTTCCAGGTCAATTTCTGGTAGCGTCTGGCCTTAATGAGAAAATACCTGGCTGGAGCAGCTTGTCTGTTCTCTGGAGCAGCGTAATTGATAGTCAGTTTTCTCTCAGGGAAGGTGTTTGTGGTTCAGCAGTTTCTTTCATTAGGGAAGGTGAGAGATTGTGTACTAGGTGTTAGTGTGTGTTCGTCTTCTGCCTCGAGTCAGAGCAAGCTATTGTGTTATTTGCTCAAAAGTTGTAGCCTATTTAGGAACAGGATTATAATAATCCAGTGATGTGTTGTTGGACAGTTTTAATTTATGTCTATTCAGAGCAACACAGAACTTTTCATCCATCATTTGTAGCAACAAATAACCCTTGGACGTTTTGCTCATGTGAATACAGTAATCAATCTTTGTATTTATAATGAGATTACTAAATTAGCTTCATGTCTTTTTCAGGGACCTCAAGGAGAGCCAGGACCTCCTGGACAGCAAGGCAACCCAGGTGCCCAGGTCTGTGATAAACGGGTTGTCTGACATTCGATTTCTTTGTATCATCCGTCAAATAAAATGTCCTGAGCCTTTTGTATCCTCTCTACAGGGACTTGCAGGGCCCCAGGGAGCCATCGGTGCCCCAGGAGAGAAGGTAATATATGACATGACTATGGGCTGTAACTAATGGGAAATATGTCGTTCCTGCAAATCGACAGAAACAAAAAAACTGATGGATTAATAAAATTTGAATAATACTGATCTCAAAGCTATGAAATAGCAAGAAACACTCATTCATCTGCATGAATTGAAAAGCCAAGTTTCTGTCTTATTCAGTTCAATATCAATTTACTTACCTGTATCACACCAAATCACAACATTTTCTCAAGGCATTTTAGAGAGTGCGATAGAGACCTTACAAGATCAGAGAGAGAAAATCAGCTTTTCCCAAAAGAGAAAAAAATTCCCTTATATTCCAAATGCTTGTCACACTATTATATAAACACGTCCCCATCCCCAACACAGAGAGAACTATTGTAGACAGTACAGAGATTTGAATCCCGATAAATTTCAATCCAATTACTGCCAAATTACATTTGCCGGTGGGTATTCAGTTTCTTATTGAACAACTTGAATTTGAGAATGAATAATGAAGGTACTGCTTCTCCTGGTTGCAGATGAAATATGAGAAAGCTGTGGTATTTGATGTAATCATATTCACAAAAAGTGATTTGAAAACACTGGTTCAAATCTGTTGCCGAGTTAGATTTGATCTTAAAAACATAGACAATACATAAACAAACCTTTGATACAAAGGCAGAAGCATTGCTAAATGTTGCTAGTCTACATTGTCATGTTTTACTGAAACCAGGGCAGAAGTCATACAAAAAAATACAAGGAATGTTCAACCTGTAGCCATATTGTTTGATGTGTATATTCACCATGCTTGTTGATATCAATCATCAATTCCAGTGGATGAATCTTGCTGATTTTTGTGATCCTTGAATGCTTTTTTTTTGTAGCGTCACCTTTTGCGTTTTTGGGAAATTATCAAATGGGTGACAAACACACATACCCATGTGACCACTTCGCTTTAAGTATGAGCAAAACTTGTCTCATTGGCTTCAGCTTCACATTTATGTTACCATACCAAGTCGGAAACATGAGCACACTAAACACGGAATGTTAGTATTGTTTCTTGGAACGTACAAGCAAGATGATCTTAGCGTAGCTCTAGGCAACGGTGTGCACTGCCAGTATGGCTGTAGGCTCTGAAGGCAGACTTTTAGGACTTTTAATCTCCTTGTCATCAGTGTGTGATGTCTTTTTTGCATCTTAACAACTTATCGTCTTCTGTCCAGGGTCCTACTGGAAAGCCAGGCTTGCCAGGAATGCCAGGAGCTGATGGTCCACCGGTGAGTTTATATAACATGCATCCAGAAGAAATGTATACAAGGGGAGCAGCTGCTCTTTTTCTCCCTCTCTGTCTTTTAAAAATCAATTAAGAATCGGCATAACTGTTGTAAAACTACATTTCCGAAGAATTACATCAAATTTTAATGTTTGAAAACCGCTGAACATGTTCAGAGCAGACTGAGTTGTTTATTAGACTGAACCATTTGCATGATACAACAGATGTGTAGCAGTTGAGCAACCCGCCCACACAGACACATACATGCAAACACACTTCTTCCCATCTCTGCAGAGAAGAAAGACACGTGCACTAATGGCATCTGTGTCTCGGAAACCACAAGGTGGCACCTGGAGGGGCAGGAGATAAGAGAGGCTGTGAAATATAAATAACTGTACTGAAGGAAAAAGAACGGGAAATGATTTGAAAATGAGGGATTTAGTGAAAGACAGGAAAGCGAGATAGAGGATGCATCTTCAATCGACTGCAATATTCTCACTCTCACTCTCAATGCTCTCTCCCTGCCCCTCATCCCTGTCCTCTCTTGTGTCTTTTTCCTCCTCCTCCCTCTCTCACACATCACTTAAAACCCATCAGAGGCTTCGCACAGCTCCTTTGTCTCATGAGAGTGAAATCAATTTCCTTTTTTTTCGGACATCCACGTGTGTATTAGATATGTTTTTTGTGTCTTCTCCCTTTTGTATTAGAAAAATCTCAGAGCGGCAGTCTTGGCTTTTAGAGTCCAGTAATAGCTGGTAGCGGCTCGACAACACTGTGCATTAAAGGATGAAAATCTCAAATGAGGTTGAACTATAAAAGGTTCCGCCTCCAATTTTGCAGTTTGATATGTCCTCCAGTAGTTTAACAACCTCATCCTCGGGTTATAGTGGGTGTTGTAGTATTTATGGTGGTAATTATCCTGAAATGAGATGCAATAATATTTCTCTTAATAATTCATAGGGTCACCCTGGAAAGGAGGGGCCTTCTGGAGACAAAGGACACATGGTAACTTCAATGTATTACTTTGGGAGTCATTGTCTGAGTTCACACATTTTGCATTAATACCCTCACATCGTGGGTGTACTTTTGTGTGTATTACAAGCCCTCACAAAATATCTTTCACCCCAGGGCCCTGCAGGACCTCAAGGACCCATTGGTTATCCTGGGCCCCGAGGCGTGAAGGTGAGTTTATCATCATCTACTAAGAAATTCATGTTTAATATTTTTCATCTCCTTGTGCCTTTGCAATTACCGACTGTTAGAGGCTAATTGTTTCCCACATTAAAGTTCCTCTGAAAAAAAGGAACTTATTATTATTCCAAGGTTTATCCAACCAACCATGATTTTGTGAAGAGTTAGAAGTTAAAAGCCACAGTTTCAACAGCTAAATTACCTACAAAGAGGAGATGCATTAATTGTTAATAGACTATTTTTATGTTAAAAAGACATAAGAGGTATCTCAGTGATGCAAAGATTAAGACAGGAGTGTCAATTCCTCAGCTCTTCATTGAGTGCCTATTAGACACACACACAACAGCTCAAGGCAAACGGCCCTTCTCTTTTTTTGGTGTCATTAGAAGCTGATAAAACCACAACAAAAAAATCCCCTGCTTTATTCTCACATTAAATTCTTCTGACTTTATACAGTCTTTATACCAGGGGGCCAGGCAGAGAAAGTCAGCAAGTAATCCGGAGCCTCTCACTCGGACATTTGCATTCACACATGCACCCCCTCCGGAGAAAATACGGATTATCTGCAGAGTTCAGTGCATGTCTGAAAGCAGCTTACGACATTTGCATTCTTATATGCAGCCAATCAGGAGAATGTCAGGAGATTATCCGGAGTTCAGTGCATTTCTGAAAGCATATGAAGTATCTGCTCCGTCTATGAAGATGAAAAGAGAGAGACAATAAGGAGACAAAACACATCTAAAAGCATCCGTCACAGGGTTTATCCTTCATAGCTCACTCCTTTGATAGGGGGAAAAAAGCAGTGACAGCTTGTTGCATCAGATAGCTTTCCCGATTTTATTTTGGAAAGAAAACTGTAGCCATCACACTGGTGGTGAGTATCATCATGTCACAGTGGCACTTACTACTGTGCAATTCACACCCCCCCCCGTCTCTTGTGCACTATATCAGCCTGTAACGTCTGTTCTTGCATCACAGGGAGCTGATGGTGTACGCGGCCTCAAAGGACACAAGGGTGAAAAGGTAAGTGTTCTCCGACTGTTGACTAAAAGACAGAACTTTAGATAAATTGAACTATTTGTAGGAATTCTAAATAACATTAATGGTGGTGAAGATGATGAGAGTGGTGGTAGTTTTGCATGAAGTGTTTCAAACTAACGATAATGTAAAGGAAATCCTGTAAAACTTGTCCGAGTTTTGCGGGTACACAGAAGAAAAAAAGCAATTAGGAGTTTCTATGGCAACAAGGAATCTTGCCAAGACTCCATATATCTGTGTGTGTGTGTGTGCACTTGCCTTTGAGTGTGTATTTGTGCATGAATGCGAACCACAAATGGTTCCAACATCTGTATGATCAAATTATTTCTTCGTTACCTCCTCATCTCTCTTTACTTTCTTTCTAGGGAGAAGACGGCTTCCCTGGCTTCAAAGGAGATATGGGTATCAAGGGCGACAGGGTAAGTCGTGTGTGAATCACTTCTGTCTGAAGCATCATCAAATAAATCAAGCTAATTAGATAACTATAACTCCTGCATTCTGATTAGTTTTTGGGGCTAGGTTTTATTTTGCACATTAGCCTCCTATGGGCCCATGCCTCTCTCACCACAATGGAATTGTGGGTAATAAGCAAACAGAGGTTGTTCCCAGTGGCCTCCTTTTAGAGTGTGCCCCTGCGATTGTGTTTACGCGAGCAGTTCTCAACTCCTGTCTAATCTCCCCGTGCCGTTTCCCAGTCTGTCCAAAATACAGCAACTTTAAGCATAAGTTTGACAGGTTCACCCATCAACCAGCTCCCTTCTCTAAACTGCTTTAGAGGTTTACGCTGTCAAGTAGTACCACCCTTTTCCACAGTGAGAAACATAACTTGCACCGGGCCCCCACTTCAGACATCAAACCCCCAATCCCTGACCAGGCTGTCTATAGCCGAGTGCAGAGAGGAAGGAGAAATCAATGACACTTTAAACCCCTTCAAGCCTTAGAGAGGGACATGGGGCTCCAGCCTGTTTTCCTCTGGCGATGCAGCAGATCCAGATGAAAGCAAAGATTTGAGGAGGCCCTCTGTTCTGGAGGAGACGCACATGGACCAGAATCTCAATGACTAAGTTTTGAGCGTGCCTATGGAAAGTGTCTGCATGCGAGTGCTCATTTTAAAGTGTTGTCTTTGATGAGCTTGCCGGTGCGAGTCAAGTACAGTTTGCTTGACGCCTTTTCATGTGCACTTGAGTGTGGGTGTTTGCGAGTGCACTCGCGTTCATGTGTAGCTGTGCACCAGCCCTTTAACTAGATACCTTTCATACACCACTAAGTCTACGCTGCAGCGACTGGTTGTCAGTGCGAGTTTGTATTCTATCATTTAGCATGTGTCCTGCTCGAAGGGGAGCACACTTACAGAGAGCAGCCATAATAGGATCGCTAACTGCTTTGAGGGGCAGGCAGCGAGGGAAAATAGCCCGACTTGCCTCCACAAGCAATTTACACTCAGTTTTAAAAGGGGTGACCTGAATTACCCAGAGTGGACCAGCTCGCTAATCAAGAAAAATCTGTTACCCATCTCCCCATGTGACCCAAATGAATATGAAGATTGTGTGGTTGTAAAGGAATGATTTAATTCAGTGTGAATGATGTCCTGTCACATGAGGATAGGACTATAGCTTCATATATTAACCTGGAATAAACCAGAACTGCTGCAGACAATGTTGCCCATCATTTTCTGAGAACATACAGTATGTTTTTCAGATCTTTAATTTCTTGGCAGATTCTCACCACCAATGATGCTGTTGAGCAATGTTCTGATCCACTTCCTCCCAACATCCTGAATTTAGGTCCAAACATCCCAGATACGATCGTAGCCATCCTGCGCAGATTATGTAATATGGAAGAGCCTTGCAGTAGCGTTCAGGGGATGAAGCCGCTGTAGCAAGATGATACAAGACTGATACAGGCACTCTGGCCAATCATGTGTCAATAAGCTCTCAAGACAATTCAACCCATTTTTAGAGCATCAAATAACAAATTAACAGCCAACTTATACAAATGAACACTTTAACATAGGTGTATCTGGTGTGCATTTAGATTTTTTTAGCTCAGCCCATGTCCCATCCTCCAACATGGAGTACAGTGTATGGGTGCACCAGGCCGTGCATTAGCATCTGCAAAACACAGCAGACATTCTTATCACCTGTAGAGGGCAGTCTCGCTAATATGCGATTCTGTATTCCAGTCTATTCTACTGATTCAGTTACATTTTCAGTGGCTGTAATGGGTTTAGAAACACAGTGAAGACCCTCTTTCCTGACATTTGTTAACCCAAACCTCAAACAACGGTGTAAATAGTTAATAGTTTAAAGTAAGTAGTATTTCATGAGAAGTAAAATAAATGTACCTTTTAACATCAACATGGTTGTAAAAGTAAAAATTCCACTTTGCTTACGACAATGACAACAAAAAAAAAGGTTCATACAAGATATTCAGTTACAAATAAGTGTTCAGACCTAATGATAAAAGTGCATAACAGTTATGTTTAAGAATAACGCTTGTGATACTTGTGGCTTGTGCTCCTCGTGTTTCCCAGGGAGAGCTCGGACCAGCAGGACCCAGAGGAGAAGATGGTCCAGAGGGGCCGAAGGGTCGCTCAGGTCTCCCAGGAGATGCTGGTCCTCTTGGAACAACTGGAGAGAAGGTAAGCTCCTTTTGAGAGTTTGACTCCTGTAACTATAAAGACAAGATATCCCACAAGTACTCTGACTAAATTTTACTCAGGCTGATAAAATAGAATAAAATCCCTGGTAGTTATTTTGTATCGCCAGGCGTGTTTGATCTAGGATGATGGCTCAGTGGGGTTTAACAAGGAAAATTGTTTTACCGATCAGTCTGGCAACCGATTTTTCTCTGCTGCTGTGCTTAAACCAACTGGGAGCAGGAAATGGATTCAGTTCCTATCATTCTCCATTGTTAGATTAAACACCGGGTGAGCTGTTGCTGAAAACACTTTAACCATTTTTTGGGTAAAGGAAAGAAAAATATTTATTTTTCTAGATAACACTGCCTCTCAATTATCTTTTAGGTTAAAAATTGTCTTATTACATATGTAAATGCTGTTTTGTTTTCCAGCCTCCTTTGCATAATATATATAGTTTTTACTCCTGGAATAAAATCAATATTCTAAAGGTTTACATGCCCAGGACCAACTTTCTGGAAGTGCAGCTGTCAGTAGCTGGTTTAGCCCTTCGATGAAATCTGATAACACATTTCTCATTTACAGGGTAAACTTGGAGTTCCTGGGTTGCCAGGATATCCAGGAAGACAAGGACCAAAGGTAAGATATTGCTAAATGATACAATCAAAACAATTCTTCATTAAAATGTCTGAAAACAACTCAACCTGTCTATTTACATTATCCAAACTGTTTCCAACAATATTCCAAAAAAATCCCTTATTTTATTCAAGGAAACAGGATGTTTCATTCTTGTCACCTACTGATTGTGTCATGTCTGCGATAACAACACATTGCGAAGGAAAAACTTACTGTTAGCCAGTTGGACAGCTTTTTTTCCTTCCACTCACACAGAATGGATCACGATTATGTATTGCAGTTCGCTGGTGGGTTCTGTTGCCATACCCCTCATATTCAAGCGCAAACAAACGCTTTGATTGATTGTTTTTTTTGTGAACATATAAACAAACACACACTGTACTTGTGCATGTGAATGCTGCTCTTCCTGAATTTGTGATGGTTTTCGAGGCTGAGCCGTCATCTGACTGCTGGACAGGCTTCAAGCTCCCTGATCAAAGTGCCGGGGATTTAAAAAATGCCTTTGGTGTCAGCACTCAGCTCCTGACACAACAAGAATAAAACGTTGCTTTTATTTAGAGAGCACGCAGTCCCCCTGTTGCATTTAATAAGTGGGGAATGTGTCAGTGAATATCCAAGGGATATAATATTTACTGTTTGTCTCTCAGATGATTAATCACTGTCTTTCTTATACACACAGGGATCTCAGGGTTTCCAAGGCTTCCCTGGTGCCAATGGAGAGAAAGGAACTCGGGTATGTCAGATAGACTTCTTATTATTCTGCTCATTCCTACAAGGGTTGGATCAATACAGGCGCAGCGGTGAGGACATTCTCCTGTCCCGGCTCCAGATTTATCAACTTAGAGGAAGTTGCATAGGATCTAAAATAAAGATTTATTTTTTTTTTTTAAACCAAGAGCTGAAAGACAATTGCGTTCCTTCTTCATTACCACTTACACAACTCATTTCATACCACCAAAAGCATTGTTTATCACTTTGAGGTAGCCGAGCAATGTTTCATTTTCTTTGTTTAAGGGATGGGCCATTAGTTCGGCGGCAAGAGTAATGGTTTGTCACCACGGATGCAGCAGGGCACACAAAGCTTTTAATCTTCACAAAAACATTCGTGAAGTTTATGAAACCAAGCTGCCAGACAGAGACGGAAAGGAAACAGTGCTATTAACATAAGTTTCACGGCCCTTGTTTGAAACTTAAAAAGCACAAAAGATCTAATTGTTTTTCTCATTAAAGTTGTATGCAGCCACTGTGATTGCAAGATCTCGGTAAAGCCATTACATTGTGCATTAATGTTTATCAAACTGTCCTATTAATGGATGTAATATAAGTGATGATAAATACTGATCATATTGCAACAGATAATTTCAGATGTTGCCGTTACAATCTGCCTGTAAATCTTGCTGTGTGTTGGCAATAGATTTGTTCTTCTAGAGGATTCTATCTCTTCGTGATGCCACTGCTTTGATCGTCGTGTATGTTCCTTGTGTCCACAGGGAACAGCAGGGAAGCCTGGCCCACGCGGACAGAGAGGACCAACGGTTAGTCTTACTCAGCAGACTCGTGTCTATATACAGATGGCAAAGCTTGGCATCTGAGTGAAAGTGGAGGGTCATCCGGGGGGATGCTGAAGCCCAACAATGACTATGTTTACATGGACACTAATATTCTGATATTTACCTGATTAAGACAATAGTCTTTTTCTGATAATCTTAATATGGTCGTACTCTGAATAAACAAGAATCCACTTAAAATATGTATTCTGACCTTCGTCGCATTATGGTAAATGGTCTGTATTTGTATTTTCCAGTCTGATCAACCACTCAAAGCACAAGTCACATTCCCTCAGCACTTTTTCTATCACTATGTTTTGTAACATTGTATTGGAATTTTGTATGCACAGCTGCTTGAAGTCAGGGATATAAGTAGAATAATCTATCAGCAATTCAAAATATATACAAATCTCATAAACACATATATATATTCTTGTAAGAGTCTAGAATAAGGTCAGATCACAAATAAATCCAAGGACCTTTTCTATGATTTGAATTGTGTTGTATTTTTTTAATCAAGGGGCCTCGAGGAGAGAGAGGGCCAAGAGGACAAACGGGAAAAGCTGGACCAAAGGTGCGTTACATTTATCACTGCTTTGCTTTACACACACACACACACACACAAAATCAGCCATTAGTCCATAAGTGCATCAGTTTAATTCCTCTTTTTGTAACTTCAGGGTAACTCAGGAAATGATGGCCCACCAGGACCTCCCGGTGAGAGGGTACGTGCCATCAAATAGTCATAGTCATCAAGAGTCGTTTCAACCACGTGTTGGTTTGGTGTTTGATCAGCTGTCATTTGTGGTTTGTTGCAGGGTCTGCCAGGGCCTCAGGGACCAACAGGTTTCCCAGGACCAAAGGGTCCTCCTGTAAGTCCAAACTCAAACACTGCACCTGCTCCTCTGTATAAACCCATCCTCTTTGTACTGTGTATTCATGGATCTGGGTATGTTTCAGGGACCCGCAGGAAAAGACGGACTGCCTGGACATCCCGGACAGAGAGGAGAGACTGTGAGTAAACTGGTTTGATTTACCCAGCTCTTTGTGTTCCACAAAATCAGCTGTTGTTGACAATCCTGTTTTTTCTCCTCCCATAATAAATAGGGATTCCAAGGCAAGACTGGCCCTCCTGGTCCTCCAGGTGTGGTTGGACCTCAGGTGAGTCTCCATCATTCACCGCATGTTTATATGTATCATCCTTGATGGTTTCACTTTAATTTTATGTATAGATTTGGTTGCACAGCTTCCACTGCCAATACAAATCTCTATTCATGTGGAGGTACTTGTGGGGGAGCATTAAAATGTGCACTTTTAAATTTACCATTGCACATTCTCTGCATTTTGTTTATCCGACCAAAACAACATCCATCCTTATACCTACATTTCACGAACTGTGACTTAAGTGTCGTTTATACTTGTGCATATTTGCATCAGGCTCTTCATCCATTATGCATAAACGTCTAACTGACTTTCCCTCCCAGTCACTCCGCTAATGCCATTGATGATAACGGAGCGGTATGTGGCCTTAATGACTAGTAGTCCTCCCACACAGCAAATGCTCAGCTTCTCCACGCCATGGTTTCTAATGGCTGGAGAAATTGAAGCATCCTTTTTGTATTTAAATTATCTTCCTCCTGCCGTCCTCTTGCTGTAGTTTCTCTTCCTCACACCTCCTCTACAACAAGGCTTTATGATGCAGCATTAATGTTTTCAGCTTGTTTTTTTCCCCCTCCAACTCTAGGGACCAACAGGTGAGACTGGACCAATGGGAGATCGGGGCCACCCTGGACCCCCAGGCCCACCTGGTGAGCAGGGTCTTCCTGGATCTGCAGGGAAAGAAGGAGCCAAGGTGAAGCCTGAAGCTTTGTTTATTATCTTGTGTTATTGGCAGCAATTTGGGACCCCATCGATATAATATTTACCTGTAGTAGCACTTAGAACATTCATTTCCCATCCAGAGTTTATTTTTTAAAGGCTGATTTTGACCATGCAACCTCAGTGTCCAACATTTTGGAACATGCATTTATCGAATTAATGTTGTCCTCCATCACACAGGGTGACTTTGGCCCTGTTGGCCCAGCGGGTAAGGACGGTCCTCCTGGGCCACGCGGATTCCCCGGAGAGAGAGGTCTTCCTGGCCCAGTGGTTAGTATTGCCCTTTAACTCCACTTAAGTACAATAGCTCAACACAGATTCAACGTCTTCCACAGCTTGGTTATTGCATAATAGTTCTGGGTTATTAAATCCCTGTAAGACTGTGGTGAACCTCAAGAATCAGACATGATATATCAGATCCCTGAGTGGGCTTCAACGGAAGAACAGTTTGCTCCAGGCTGTTTATTTTTTTTTGTTTTTTATTCTAACTCGACAAAGTCATGTCCTAGTTGTTATGCAATCCACACTTAGTTGTTGGCAGGAGCAGCTTCTCATTTAAACTTGCTGGTTTCGGAAATGATGTGATACACCCATTTCCTTTCTAAGGTAACGGATGGTTGCAGCATTTTTAGTAAAGAACCGTTGTTCCTGTGTTCTCAGCTTCCACTTTGGGGACTATAGGTGGTTTTTTATCTCATGCTGAGCCTGTTTGAAGACGGGGAGTCCAGTGTAAGGCAGGATGTGTGCTTCCCCAACAGATGTGTTTGTTTTCTGAAGCCTTCATTTTTTCTGTTCTGCAGGGGGCTCATGGACTGAAAGGGAATGAGGGTCCTCACGGCCCACCTGGCCCCGCTGTGAGTACAATTGACTGAATCTCTTCCTTTAGTTTATCACTCTTCAAACTCTCTGCTCCTTACAAAAATATAACAATTTGCATTTTGCCTCAAATACTACAATATTGTGATTTTGTTTTTAATGTTCTGATATTTCTGACAACTGATAATATTGCTGTGCGTTGGTGCTGTAGGGTTCTCCTGGTGAACGTGGTCCTGCTGGCCCAGCTGGACCCACAGGCCTTCCAGGACGTCCAGGCCCCCAGGGACCTCCAGGTCCTGCTGGAGAGAAAGGTGGACCGGTAAGAACATCACATAGAGATTACTATGACATTCGAAAAAAAGCAGCGTAAGGATGATTGACAGCACAGTGTTGGACTGTTACACAACAATCTATTATAGGGAGAGAAAGGACCTCAAGGACCAGCTGGAAGAGATGGTATTCAGGGACCTGTGGGTCTGCCAGGACCTGGAGGACCTCCTGGACCACCTGGAGAGGATGGAGACAAGGTAAAGAGAAGTTTAACAAAATTCACTAAAGCTGCATTGTAGCTTTCAACTTTTTCACACATACACAGACACACACATATACAATACACACTTACCACTTTACAAAGACTCTAAACTTTACAGCAGAGATCTAAGCCAGAAATTCTTTTGTATATTTCCCTGTGGCCTTAAATGCTCTGAGGGGAATTGGCCTGATAGGGTTTGCATCAATTAGCAGATCTTCAAAATGCAATCCTGCCTCGTCGCTGCTCTGTACCCTTCTGTACAAGCAGGCAGAGGAAAGGGGAGGACTTTGATGGCAGTGGCAGCTTATGTGAAAGTGACCCGTTAGTATTCAGAAGCATGAATAACTCCTCATCCACCTCTAAAAACATTTGCAGGAAGATCAGCCGCTGAGATACTCTGAGGATAATCTCTTATCCTCTAAAGAATGCTTCAGTTCTTAACTGGCCTCACAATGGTCCCCGTGGTGCAGACGGATACAAAGAATACAGAGGGTATTTGCCATGCAAACAAAAAAGGATCTGGAGGAATAATATTTACACATATTCAGACACTTACTCATTAAAAAGTCCTGTCCACAGATAGGGAACAACTCTAAAGGCCTTTATTTAAGACCAACGCTGCCTCACAAAGAGGATTGTCAATTGCCAAAAGTAAATCCCTTTGCTAGTTATTAGCATAATTCCAGCAAACACCCACATCATGTGGAGGTGTTGAAAGCACAGTGCAAGGTTCTAGAAATAGGTTCAGATTGGACTGATTATCTATTCTGTTTTTGGCTGCTAGTAGCACCAGTGACTCAACTATCACGATAAACCCCCTTCAGATGTGAGCTATATTTATCACTGAAGGAGAGTGATGTAAGTGAAATAGCCACATACAGACCACATAGAAAGTGTCCTTTCAGAGGCAGTGGATACATGTAGTGGAGTTTTAAAGTCATTAGACATATCATTTTGTATTGTTGTTCTTTCTTCCTCTCACTTGTTTTATTTTGAATTGAGATGTTCGTCTTTTCACTGTGATGGTTTAATTCCTCAGGGAGAGCTCGGAGAGCCTGGCCAGAAAGGAAGCAAGGGTGACAAAGGAGAACATGTAAGTGGCTGTTTATCTCAAGCTCATCACATTTTCTTGTGAATGCATACATTTTAAAACTGTTGATTTTGATTTTTTCCATCTCCTCTACAGGGTCCACCCGGTCCCACTGGGCCTCAAGGGCCTGTCGGAGCTCCCGGACCTGCAGTAAGTCAAATCGTTCAATGCCCAGTTTACTACATCCGTTGGCCCACCGTTGTTTGCATGCCTCTCCCATATGTGACCCCTTTATCTGTGGTTTTGCGCAGGGTGCAGATGGTGAGCCTGGTCCCAGAGGTCAGCAGGGTCTGTTTGGCCAGAAGGGAGACGAAGGATCGAGAGGATTCCCCGGACCTCCAGGCCCAGTCGGGCTGCAGGTGCAGACAATAATGGACAAAACAAACTGTGGTCAATTGTCATCATTAAGAAAAACACAGAGGCTAATAATAAATCCTTTGCACACTCCCTCAGGGTTTGCCTGGACCACCTGGTGAGAAAGGTGAAACTGGAGACGTTGGACAAATGGTAAGCGCTTATTGGAGAAATTATTATTATTATAAGTAGTATTCTAAATATTAAGTCACAAGCAGTATGTAGGCAATATGCATTTCAAAGTTTAACAGTTTCTTCTCTACTTCACAGGGTCCACCTGGCCCCCCTGGTCCCAGAGGCCCCTCTGGCCCCCCAGGAGCTGATGGCCCACAGGGACCTCCTGGCGGTATCGGAAACCCTGGCGCTGTTGGAGAAAAGGTAAAACTCACCTCTGTTTGGTAACTGGCTCGCACAGAGGTGGAGATGTGCAGCTACGGTTTTCTTTAAGCACATAAGGTAGCATAGTGTTTTGATGGTCCTATATAGGCATGAAAATGCACCTCTGCACCTGCCTTCACTGTAGCAGTATAAACACAGACATTTCTCAAGGCACATTTAATTCCCCTCAACCATGTTTGTATCTGTATTTTTATTTGATAGTAATTATCTAAAACAAATTTATCGACAGCTAAATGCACTTATCTGGGGAGATTGACACATTTTATCATACTTTAATTCCGTAAGCAAACTGATATATTTGTCTAGCAAAACAATCTGTGCAGATAATTACACATATAAATTTAGATTTTATTGTCTCCTTAAAAGTTTGAAAAAAGAAGATCCGCAAACTTAAAACTCCCATTTAAGGATTTAAAGTGACGTTTTGAATCGCCATCTTAAATCATGTGATGTATCAGCACCACAAAATATATCATGGTAGATATCGTAATATATATATACACATAGAAAAATCTTCTAATATTATTGGATTTGTTATAGCTCTCATTTTCAAAACCCCATAATTGATGTGTGTGTTATTCATATTTTTCAACATTATATAGTCTCCTGCTTTGATTTCTGAACACCATATTTTCTCTGCTGTATGATAATTTTTGTGCTGCCCTGTGTTTTGGGGCCCTGCTCTTTCCACATAATAGATTTCTCTCAGAGAAGCCTGTGCGTTCTGAAACCGCCTCTGTCTTTTAACATGTATGAAAGGAGCTGCTGGCCATTGTGGAAATCAACTCCACCTGCTAATGTTCATTCAACTGACAATTTATTCATCCTGCCACAGCCTTTTTGCGTCATGGCCCCTCTGGAACAGTTTCAGAAAAAATTAGTTAAATGTTTTTGTGTTTTAAATTTAATTTTAGTGTATGCAAATTTGCCTACACAACAAAAAGGTTCCCAAGTGGGCCCGATATCACCAATCCCAGACCACGATGGCAGCCAACACGTTTTCCATTGTACCCTGCCCATGAATCAGGTGTGATACAGTTTTTATCCAGCTCACTGGTTTTAATAACACTTTGAGGCAGATTCAGTACGCTAGCAGTTTGTTTGAGTGCTCTGTGGTGCAGTCTGTCAATGATACCTCTTTACCAGGCTTTTGCAGCCATTAATATTTCACATACCTATTTATACGATATCCTTTTAAATGGGACATGATCACCCTCCCCCTCTGCCGCCGAGTGATGGACGTACAGAAAATCTAACGGACAGGCTGCCACCCAACCCGACAGCACTGTTGCTGAGTGGAGGCAGGATGAATAAATACTCGGCGGCACCATGCTTGAAAATCCAAGATGATAAATCCATTATTAATGGCAGCTCTCATAAAAATCAACTCCCGCTCTTATTTGTTGCTGCTCTCTCATTATGAAAAGGCCTGCTTTGGCAGCTTTTGCAGCTGCCAGACTGAAATGCTGTGCACCTTTAGCTCACTTTCTGTCCAAAGTGGTGGTGTGATTTGCTTTTTTTTCTCCTGCTTCAAGTCTATAGAATCACCTTTTGCTCCTTTATAATATCCCAGAGGATAGCTTGTCCTCCTGTGCAAACAAACACAGCGCTCTCCCGGCTAATTGTGCCTCAGCTGATCTGGCATTTTACTAGCCGGCCCAGGGAACTGGCAGGCGACCAACCTTGTGCTTTTTCCCCTCATATAACTGTGATGAGCAGCTGTCTCTCACGCTCAAGGTTCTCCCTGTTGTCAGCTGATTCCAGCAGTGCCCCTGTGGTGGACATGAGCAGTTGTTTGTGCGGATGGAGGCAAGGCCCGAACGAAGCTTCTTAGATGCAACATTTGCATAAAGACCAGCGTGCGCTCCTAAAACAGAAGGATCAGTCACGTTTTAAAACAGACATACAGCCAGCTGCTTACAGTGAATTTCATGATAGCAGCAGCAGGAGAGATTCTGGAAGAAATCCTGCCACTAATTTAGGAGCGTCGGTTGATGTCCAAACACAGACCTGTTGTTCACGCTACAGAGAATCTGTTTATGCTTATCATAACACATCACTAGGCCATCTTATCCAAACGCATAATTTTAAAACCTGAAACAGGTGTTGCATCTGCACTAAAGCCCAGAGGGCCGGACGGTAGGTTCATGTGACAGTGAGTAACGATAGCGCCTGGAGTATAGGTGTGTCAACAGGGCAACTATCCAATAAGGCAGGAGGACGGGGACAAGATATATGTGCAGAGCCCGGGGAGAACAGTGAGGTCAGCGCCCTCTTTATTCCAGTCGTCGAATGTACCCGCACTTGATGGATTGAAATCTCTTGTGTCATCTCTTTCTGTGCCCATTTGGTGACAAGGGCACCTGGACTGTGCGAACAACTGTAAATGATGGGATTTTTAGAACCACATCCGTCCACAAATCACCAGTCTGATAACGTACATCTCTGTCTTACCCTCTAATATTCCCTCCCTCTCTCTTACCAGGGAGATGCCGGTGAAACAGGAGAGCCAGGTCTTCAGGGAGATGTTGGCCCACCAGTGAGTTAGCTCATTTGCTTTTCACCATTTTTTCAAAAGATCCAATAAAGACTGAATAAGACAAAGTATTTCACTACTGAAGAAAAGTTTCTTTTTCTATTAACTATGTGTTTCTGACCCGTCTCTCTGAATTAGATTTGCTGCTAACTGTGTTTTATTCCAGGGTTCAAGAGGAGAACGAGGAGAAAAGGGAGAGTCTGGTCCGGCTGGTACAGCTGGACCCCCTGGCCCCAAGGGTCCCCCTGGAGATGATGGTCCTAAAGGCAGCCCAGTACGTTTTATTCTGTAATCGTCTGTTGTATATGGCAAGTGTCTCTAAATCTCCGAGAAGAAAAATAAATGAAGCTTTTATTGTTTTTCAGGGTCCAAGTGGTTTCCCTGGAGATCCCGGCCCTCCTGGAGAGCCTGGTCCTGCTGTACGTATGACATAATTAATTAAGTGTGCAAACACTATTCTTTACAGTTAGTTTTTTTAATATAATGCAGCTTGACTGTGGATCTGTTTATCTCTTATACAGGGATTAGATGGTCCACCTGGTGACAAGGGAGATGACGGAGAGGCTGGTCAGGCTGTGAGTGTCACCTTTTTACAGCACTGTGGACATTTACTGTAAACTCAAAGATTTTTTTTTAAATTGCAAGTTATTTGATTTAATCCTCACCCTCTGAAATTTTAATCTAGGGTTCACCTGGACCCACTGGAGAGTCTGGTCCCTCTGGACCACCAGGAAAAAGAGTGAGTACCAGCCTCAGCTCTCTCCTACTATCGCTGCAAAAAGTGTTCTGTATGAAAATGTTCTGTTTATGTATTCTTCTATTTTAATCTTGTCATCTATGTGTGTTTTTAAAACAGGGCCCCCATGGAGCAACAGGACCTGAGGGAAGACAAGGAGAGAAAGGAGCCAAGGTAACACATCCAACAAATAATATAAAAACATACTTCATACCAACAGTGTCAAATGCTTATTTTATATCTTTGTGTCTGTGTTAAAGGGAGAGTCTGGTTTGGAAGGTCCCCAAGGAAAGACAGGCCCTGTCGGTCCTCAAGGATCACCTGGCAAGCCTGGTTCTGAAGGTCTCAGGGGTATCCCTGGCCCAGTGGTGAGTAAAACGCATTACATCTAAAATGTAAATGCATGTAAAACAAGGCTACATAAACAGTTTGATAAACAGCAGAACATAGGATGTGTGATATTTATTGAAACATGTGTTGAATGTAAGCTAGGGCTAAACAAAAATAAACGTATTGTTTTTTATGTGCAGGGAGAGCAAGGTCTGCCTGGTCCTTCAGGCCCAGATGGACCTCCCGGGCCTATGGTGAGTAGAAGTGACCATTGCCTTCGAACTCAAGTATTTCATATCTTACACCTCATACCTGATCAGAAACTGTATTAATCTGTCCCCCCTCATCACAGGGCCCTCCTGGTTTACCAGGTTTGAAAGGAGACTCAGGTGTCAAAGGAGAAAAGGTGAGCCCCTCCAGCACCTGCTCCACAACTCTGAATGTTTTCATGTGCAGCATAAAGCTACAGTAAATACTTCAACAAAGACTAATGAACCTATTTACTTAGAGAATAATTAGTTCTGTTGTTTGCCTCCAGCCATCAGATCATTACCCTAATGATTAAAGGGTGTGCCAGATAGATATATGATAGGGCTAATGTTTTCGATGGTGCATTTTTGACTTACTGACTTTTCCCTCTGCCCACAGGGACATCCGGGTCTTATTGGTCTTATCGGACCCCCAGGTGAACAAGGAGAGAAGGGTGACAGGGGTCTTCCTGGTCCTTCAGGAACGTCTGGTCCCAAAGGAGACAATGTAAGCAAACAAAACCACACACGGAAAAAGTCTCACACATTGCATTTTTTAATCTTTATACAAAAACTGCATATGCTGCAGAAGCTTAGTGCCATTCATGCCAATGATCTGCCTGACGAATGTTATTGATGGTCTTTATGTTTGTGGTCTTTAATTTAGCAGAAGGCAAAATGTGGTATCTGGTGTGAATAACCCTAACACTAATCAATACTCTTGCATCAGGAACAAACACTGTTGTCTCACTCTCATTTCTACTTTAGGGTATTGCTGGTCCCTCAGGTCCCATCGGTCCCCTGGGTCCTCCTGGATTACCTGTAAGACTACATCCATTATTTATGATAGTTGAACTCAGTAACATGTGATGTCGGCGCTAACATTGAATACTCTGAACTTTCCATCTTTAGGGTCCTCCTGGCCCCAAAGGAGCTAAAGGGTCATCGGTAAGTGTTTTTAATTAAAGATGAAATCCGTCAGGAACGATGAAGAGCATTTCATGACTCTCTAAAACTGTTTGACGTTAAAGTTACAGCATTTCTTCCTCCTCTTCAGGGTCAAACTGGACCAAAAGGAGAGACTGGTACTCCTGGACTTCCTGGCCCTCCTGTAAGTCAATGAATCTTCTTATGGTCATTATCATTATCATCTTCTGTGTTATAGTAAATGCAAGTCATTATCTCTTGGTGTTATGGACATTAACCTAGTTACCATCCATTTCTCTGTCTGACACTTGTATTTTTCATTTCATCTCTCCTCATCAGGGCCCTCCTGGCGATGTCATCCACCCACTCCCCATCCAGGCTCCCATCAAGGGCCGAATGCGCAGGAACATCGACGCCAGCCAGGTGATGGATGACGCCGCCGTGGACGCCAACTACAAGGACTACGACGATGGCATGGAGGAGATCTTTGGCTCGCTCAACTCCCTGAAACTGGAGATTGAGCAGATGAAGCACCCGCTTGGCACACAGAGCAACCCCGCTCGCACCTGCAAGGACCTGCAGCTCTGCCACTCTGATTTCCCAGATGGTTCGTATCGCATTCTATCTAAATGAGGTCTGTTGTCTGATCCCCATGGGCTTTAGATTATCTTTTTCTGACCTTTTACAGACCGAATATTGGAGAGAATAATTGCCAGAAATCTGAAATCTGTATATGTAGCTCGAATAGCAGCTTCATGTTTCAACTTACTGTGTCCTTTAGAAAGGCAAAATTAATGATTTTTAAAGGCTGTTTGTACACATAGTCATGCATGACAGTGTCAGACATGATCTTGACCTGGAGGAGAACAGATACGTGCCACTCTTCAAATGCATGCTCTCTCTTTTTTCTCCCTCTCTGTCCTCTTCAGGCGAGTACTGGATTGATCCAAACCAGGGCTGCTCTCGGGACTCCTTCAAGGTTTACTGCAACTTCACAGCAGGTGGAGAGAGCTGCATCTACCCTGATAAGAAGTCAGAAGGGGTACGTCTGGCTACACACACACAGAACATTTTCAGCATTCTGTTTGGGATTTGATGACATTAACTTCATTCTATTTCAATTATCACCCAGTCATAATACATGTAAGAACATGTTTGTATTCTTATCCTGAAAATTTGAAAAAATGAATTTGTTCATACAATGAGTTCATATATGTTCCAAGTCAAATTTAACAATTTGAAAACAATATGAATTCCACATGTGCATATTCGAGTGAGCGTGCACGAGGATAGCAAATTAGCATAATGAACGCCCTAATAATACCACGAAAGGCACTTCCTGCCCTAGTGTCAGAGGTGTTAATATAACATCAATGAGTGGAAAACTTGATCTGAATAACAGCAGACTAATATCACATGACGCCTTGATCGCTCGTAAATTCTGCTCGTGCCAGATAATTGGTGATTGTAACAAGTTCCCCTTACATAACTTGAACCTAACAGTTCTTGCATGAAGCCCACTATGTCAAGGCACCATACGCACATAAAACCAATACCTTACAATAGTATATAGAGAAACAGCTTAATATTGCAGAATATATTTTTTCATGTCTGGGACTAACTTGCATGCAAGAATAAATAACCTGTACATCTCCAGAATTCTGTTGAACCTCCTCATGTGCTCGTGTAATTAGCCTCCATGAGATTACCTGGTGTTGTCATGAAGGAAGACGCGGGAGATGAGTCACCAGGACTCCCTGGATTTCCTATGAGGACGGTGACTTAATTTACAAACAAAGTATATCTCAGTTTGGTTCTGACAGTCGGTAACTGCAGGAAGACAAAATCTCTCCAAACAACAAATTTATCCATACTTTGTTGCCATTTTTAGATAAAATGTCACTACCTGAGAAAGACTTTGGCAGCTGTCAGGCACATCGGAGGAGATTTATGCTTCATTATGCATGGAGCGTGTAGAGGAGAGTTGCAGCAGTGGTGTAACACTTGGAACACTGTCTTTGACAAGTCAGGAGGGGGGTGGGCTGGGTAATAGCACAGTGCTACAGCCATTTTAATGATCGCACTCACCAAGCCTCAGAGGAGCAAGAGTTTGCTTAAGCTCAGAATAATGAAGCGATACTTTTTATAGCTTGCTGGTGATGGGCTGCTCTCACCACAAAAAAAGCCTGTGTGCTGCCTTGTCTTTGCATCGTGGCTGAACCCACTCACACACACATTTAGATTGGCACAGTTATTATAAGAGCACACGTTCTGTTTGAAAACCGCATTTTCGTTCCATATCAGTTTTAATCCCTGTCCATACCGACATGCCTGAAAAGGCATATCACGTGACCACTCACATACGCTGGGCATGCATGTGTCGGGTTTAAACAGGAAGGCTTGCGTGTACAGCTGGACACGGCACTCGTCTCAAATTGCAACGCTTGCAATTGATTACCCTTGTTGCATAGCCGAGGCTAATGCCGGTTGGTCTCTTCTAAAAGGGGGTCATCAGTGTGATAATCAGTGAAGGCTACATCGTGACTGAAAATACTCACGTACATCATTGTTTCCATCATCTCAGTTTCTGCTCTTCTGTTCAGGTAATTCTTAGTTTTAGCGGCTGTAAAACTCTTGTGGTGTAGACGCTAGGCTTTTCCATAGCAGAGAGTTGATGCGTTTTTAAATGAAAACATAGTTGGATGTAACATGACAGCCTGGCATGCTTTCATGGATTTTAGAGAAAGAGAAAGTCAGTGCAAGGATACGTTCCCTCCTGTGCTTTGTCCACTACGGTGAAAACAACTAAAGGTCACCTTCAAGGCAGCATGGGTCTAATGTATGCAGTCTCCCAATGATGAGTGCTCACATTCCCATCATTCATTCATTAATGCATTAAGCTTTTGACAACACTTCCATATCAAACCCTATCTAATTATGGAGAATTCATCATTTTCATGCCTGAGACCATTAGAGCTGTGCCCTTGTTGGCCAACTCACAGCTTTTAATGGCATAACAAAGTTACGCCATGGCTGCACAGCACAAACACAACACAGCGGGGGAGAGAGGCCAAGGTGTAAGAGCTTGTTGCAGGCGATCATTTGTTAATTAATCACTGTGTATTCATGAATTTTTCAGCAGCAATTTGCTGCCAGCTTCAGTTCATACTGTATAAAATGGCATAATGGCTTATTAAAATCTTTGGTGTGGTGTGGTTGATCTTACTGAATACCGTTTCAGGTCTGCAGGATTCCTCAGAGGACAAACGGGAGGAGACAGAGGGGAGAAGGAGAGAAAAAATGTGTGGATGTGTTTCTGTCAGATCTGTTTTCTTTCTTTAACGCTGCTGTTTTTTCCTTCCCCCGGCTCCGCCTCTCATTTGATCCATATCCCAGGCTAGGCTCACATCCTGGGTAAAGGAGAATCCCGGCTCCTGGTTCAGTGAATTCAAACGTGGTAAACTGGTAAGCCAGACTTCTGACTTTCCCTTTCCCTTCCCTGAACACCTCTTATATTTTACAGAGCAAAATGGCAAAATGGCCCAAAGACTCGCCAGGCACATGGTATAGTCACTACAAGAGAGGTTCCCTGGTAAGTGGCCCCTTGCCTGCAGTCCCGGAGTCCTGGCTGAGGCCCGGACTCTGCGTGGCCGAAGCTCTGCATGTTTCTGGTTCTGCTCTACGAAGTATGTATATGCACTAGCACCTTGCTTGTGGGTTATGTTTTCGCGGTGCATGAGTCGGCACAAGCTGCTCTCACGCTCAGTCCAGCAACAAAGCTGATGCTCTCACGAGGAAAATGAAGGAGAGGTTTGTGGACAATGCAGTAAGGATTTGAATATGCTGAGGCAACATGTTTGACAAGCAATGGAGGTTAACCCATTAAGGCGCAAAAAAAGCAAACATTGGACTTTCATCCAGTGCTAAATAGGAGAAGCATGCAAACGCCGCAACTGGTCTGAAAGGTATGTACACACATATGCTGCATCTGGGCTTAATGGGTTAATAAACAGAAGTATTTACTGTGGAGATTCCTGACTGCATAATCCACTCTGCCACACCTCTGCTACATTAAGAGAGCATCTACCAAGGGTGACTGTGCCTCAACACATGATTCAAGAAATAGAAGTATCCACAGAGAGATGTTTTTGTTCTTCAGTTATAATAGAATACTTCAATTTACACATTAAAATGTTTTAAGTTGTAGATCAACAGGTTCCAGCCTCAGCCATCCATCCTCCATAAAGGGAGAGAAACATAAGCAACCATTCAGCTGCACTCACATTCCCACCATCTTCCTTTAAACACTACTTATATCTGACAGAGTAGCTTGAGTCAGGCACAGGTCAGGCACTCAGTCACCACCCCAGGGGCTTCTGGGTACTCAAGTCACTGTTGACTTGCGGCTGTGATGATAAAGAGGTAATGTTTTCTCTGGTGATGTCGGCCTCATCCACACACTGCGGGGCAGGGGGATGACGGCCGGTGGGGGTTAATCAGAAAACGCATGGGAACTCTGCAGACACTGCAGAACACTTTTCTTTTAACCTGAGCCACAGTGTCAACACTCAAACCTAAAAAAGTTCAAAAACTGTTTACATCAGGTGAGTAATTTGGTCTTTTAAATAGTAGATGTCCAATAGTCACACAAGTAAAGGGAGAAAATTATGAGTTTTCTCTATAAATATCAAGTTTGAGTGTTGGTATTCTGTGTTTGTATATGCATGTGTGCTAAGGTGTGTGTGTGTGTGTGTGTGCAAGTACAAGTCAAGAAAGAACACAGACTCAGGCGGGTCTGCCGCTCTGGCTGCATGGCATGGACGCTGCATGCGCTCTCCTATCAGTAAGTCCCATTTGTCTGAAAGACAAAGCGACCGTGTGGATCTAATGGATTACTGATGGTTGGTATATGCTGATAGTCACTTAACGGACATTAAACCCGACTGTGACCGGTTTCGAACCTGTTGTCTTTGTCAGTCAGGATTACAAAGAGCCTGAAATCATTTAGATGGATATAGCAAAATCAAAAAAGCTAAATCCTAGGTTAATTATAAATGAATTACCATGTAATTAACATATCATTACTCCGGCGCATTTCCATTCAGATAATTACATTTTCATGGTTTTAACACACTTTTCTCACACATTTGCATAATCATATAACAAGTCTTTATTTGTACTTTGTGGGCAGATTTTTTCCACGTTAATCATTCCACATTATCCCTGGAAATAATCTGCACCCTACATCCCATCATCGCCGATACAAAAAATAAAATACAAAAAACATGACATGAAAACAACAATTCAAAAGTATAAATACATAATGTGTATTCGCTGGAATCCATGTGCAAAAACTATTAAAAGTACTTCAATGAGCCACTGTTCCACAGGCTGTCATCTTCCTTCATGATGATGAATGTGGGCTTTGTAGTTAATTTTGAGCGCATCTTGCCTTAACCAGTCTGGCATTAAAAATGTTCAATGGTGCAATTAATTTGTATTAATCCTCCACTGAAAAAGAAAGAACGCCAGTTAACGTATGTTTTTTAGTAAGTATGCAGCGATCTACACTGTACAGTTGTTTTAGGTAAATACAGAGCCTTGGGGAAAAAAATTAATAGAATGGCATTCAGTAAAGAACACACCTCTGCCTCGTCCCAACGTTCCCGTTAATTCAATTAAACCGTACCAAAGTTCACAGACATAGATATCAGTCCTAAATGTGCCTGATATTTTTCATCAAGATTCATAAATTATTCTCTGGGAAAACTGAAAATGTTGAAATACGCCCTCACATTGTTCAGTAAAGTGAAAAAGATAATCGGAGGATCATCCCCTGATCTGCACCAAAATGTAATGGGTTCTCCCCTGATCCGTAAAGTATCCTTCAACCAAGTTTTATGAAAATCGGCCTCGCATTTTTTTAATGGAATGTTGCTCACAAACAAACAGAAACAAACAGACAGGGGTGAAAAGATAAAGTCCTTGGCAGAGGTAACTTTATATTTATAACCTGGTTGAAATGAATAGGATAGTTAAATCAGACGGGCAGGCAAACTCTAGCATGGCTGGTTCTGGTCTCTTCATGGAATATGTCAATAAAAATACAAATATGATAACACCACTATTATCCTTTAATAATCAGGTTAACGTGTTGTGTTATATCTCACATACACCGTTAAGTTCTGTTTGCCTGTGCTGTGTATATAAATTGTGTGCATCCTCAGATGACACCCAGATTCTAACACCATTGTAAATAAGAAACAGAGAAATCCCAACACAGCAGTGAAACAGGAAAAGAGATTACAAGCCATAAATTAATTCAGAATGACTCCCAGGAGACAGAAGCACTGCACAATATAGACCTGACTGTGTGTTCACTAAATCTATTGTATCTTCAGGACAATCCTTCCTCTCTGTTTACTCACTCATTCTTTCCACCGCTGCCTGCCCCTGGTGTTCAGTCTACGTCCCTGTTTTATTTTAAATCGCAGCTCTCATACGTGGACGCAGAGGGCAACCCGATCGGCGTGGTCCAGATGACCTTCCTGCGGTTGCTGAGCGCAGCAGCCAGACAGAACTTGACGTACAACTGCTATCAGTCGGTGGCCTGGCACGACCAGGATCAGGACAACTACGACAAGGCCATCCGCTTCCTCGGCTCCAACGATGAGGAGATGTCGTACGATAACAACCCCTACATCCGCACCCTGGTCGATGGCTGTGCGGTAAGTCAAGGAGATGGTTGTGGGAGTGTCTCTGGGTGATTGGCGATAGTAACATCTAGCTTTTGTCTGCGATGGGAATGGATACAATGGGTATTAACTCCTGGGTCAGATTACAATGCAGTAGAAAAGTTTTTATCTGCTACGGCGCAGAGCCAGGAACATGACACCCAGCTGAACGAGCTAATTTGGTAAGACAGCAAGGTAAGAGAGCGCCTCAGTTGTCATTGCGTTCATAGTGTTGAGCATGACTGAAGAAAGGCAAACTGTTCAATAGGAATGGAGTTAATCTCTTTAGCGGGTTTACCCTTATTTAAAACACAACTGGCTAATTTTGGTGTGAATGAGGTATTGATGAACAGTGTCAGAACCTGATGTTTGTATTTGTAGCGGCTCTGTCCGCGACTAAAGAATGTGATGTTTAGCTTTCATGCACCAACTCTCCTCTCTGGTGTGTCTCTTCGCAGTTGAAAAAGGGCTACGAAAAGACGGTACTCGAGATCAACACGCCAAAGGTGGAGCAGGTGCCGTTTGTGGACCTCATGTTCAACGACTTTGGAGGCTCCACGCAGAAGTTCGGATTCGAAGTGGGCCCCGTCTGTTTCATCGGCTAAGACTGTTTACTGAGCAAATGGAGAAAAAGAAAAGCATATTTTGTTTTCTCAGAAAAAAACATTTGAAAAAGAAATAGGACGATTCTATTTGTAAAAAAAAAAAAAAAAAAACTTTTTTTTTCCATAAAGCAACAAGAGTAAAAATGAAATCAAGTTGAGGATGCAGTGAAATTCTTTTAGAAATAGAGGAAAAACGAAACAACCTCAGTGGGCCTTCTCCATCACATGCAAGTTTTGAAACTGGATGTCAGATACTGCCTCCTACGCCACACACTCACGCAGACACACACCTAGCCCCATGCCATCACTCGATTTAGACCTTCTGGTCCCAAACAACGGAGGCGACCCTGAGAGCTGCAGCCATTCCAGACGAGAGCAGTTTTTTTTCCAAGGACTCCAACTGATTCGGCTTTTTTTCCCCTCATCTTTGGTTCTGATCTCATGTCTTCCTTCATCTCCCTGGCTTCTTCCACTTTTTGTTGGGTTGTTTTTGCTCATTCACTACTAGGAGCTCTTGCTTGTGCATAATTGTCCCCCCCATTCTCTTGGAATGGATCCTCTATATAGATATATATATAAAAATATATATATATATAAATAATTTTTATGTTTGTAAGTACATTCTGTATATTTTTTTCCTGGTTATGTTTATTGCTTCTTGCTTCAAAACGTGCATGTGACTTTATTAATTGTGGAGGTAGGAGGAGGAGGAGATGATGGATACAGGGATAACACCTAAAATTGCAGAGATATTGAAAGTGAGGAAATTCGACTTGTAAATTGAAAAAACAAAGAAACTAACTAATTGGGAAGTCCTGTCTTGTTGCAGTTGTAGAGCACATCTTGTTGTAATTTAAGAACACATGGAAATAAAAAAAAGACGAAAACAAGCTCTGTGATATTATGTGACAGTTGATTTGCAGAACTAATGAAAAAAAGAAAAATAATACATTCCTCCTTTTGTGCCCTCGGAACAAACCACCTACCTTGGTGGCAAATGTCATTAATTTAATAAACGGCTTCTATTTTTCTTTTCCTGAAATACTCATCTGACTATGCAATGAGAGATGTCACTTTTGAATGGAAACACATCAAAGAACCCTGGTGCTATTTTTCCTCTCGTCTGTGGTGCTATGTATTTTTCTAGTTTGTGTTTGTTTGAATGAAAGGAAATTTGTGGCGATAATATTCTGTCACCAGCTGCCCCTTGACTCTTAACCACCACAGTGGACGCAGGTGGATCTGTGTTGCATCCATTTTTTTTATGACTAATGTCCAGCAGTGGTGTCTGCATGCTATTTCTCCTGCTCGCAGGTCAGTGCAGCATGGCGGCGTTATGTTGCTTCGGCGGACCGCACGGATAGGAAAAATGTGTCTTGTACCAAATATTGGGAAGAGAAAAAAGGAAACTAAGATGGTGCTGTTGGCTTTGTTGCTGCGTTTTCGCCTCTCGCTGCTGGGAGAGAGGGAAATGTTTGATGGGCGTGCAAAAAGGGTTATGATCCATTGTCTTGTTTGGTTTGGAAAACTCAACCCTTCCACCAAAGGTTATCACATATATTTAGCTTTAACAGGCTTGAATTTTTCTTATTTTCTTTCTTTTGTATGGGAATGTTTTTCTTGATTTATCCAAAGTAGAGGCAGGTAATGAAACTAGCCAGATCAAGCAGTTTGCTCCTGCAGTGGCAGAAAATGTCTTGTTGGTCTTTTATTTTTGCCCTATTTGTAATTATGCTCTTCGTTCAAACTATGCACTCTCTTTGCTTATGACCACTAAGTATCTACCACATAATTTTTTACAGCCCTTCATACATAGATTTGTTTCCTCTTTTTTAAAAATCTTCAAATATGTGACTTGAACCATTTTCTGTTAAGACAACTCAATATGCTTGTAGATCTCTGGCTTTATCCTTTCATTGTCATGCAGTACGCCCAAATTTTAAAACACTTTGCTCTCAACGTAGAAGACAAACAATTTCTTGTAAATTTCCAGAACCAGCAGTAATGCTGCCATTGTTTTTGTTTTGTAGATTTTCCGTTTTTTCGTCTGTCTTTGTCTGGTTTGTTTTTCACAGTCTTGTCGAAACCTGTGTAAGGATAAGAGGATAGAAGATATATTGGTTTTTATGTCAATAAATTCAAGTTTACTGTGGCCATCCACTCTTGTATGTCTTTTGAAGCATTAAAACCTATCTGTATGCATGAAATTGTAAAGTTTTTTCTCTTGTTATGATCTTGTAGGGGAACATGATCTGTAGTCCAGGTTTTTATTCATCGGGATACGTCCGTTTTTTTCATGAATGAAAGATACAAAAATATAAAAGTAAAGGTCATGTCCACAATTGTGAAGTGGAGAGGAAATGATGAACTTGTAACTCTACCAAAGACAATGTTCGTTTGTAGTATATTTATTGTACTATTTAAAATAAAAAAATAAATGTTAAATGATACCATAGTATAAGTGTAAGAGGCCCCCTCTTTACGTGCACACGGGAAAAACAAAAGCTACTGACTAAAGGTGATGAATTTTACACACATGCTGGTAATGCTCCTTTCAGAATACGTCAATATAAAAAGACAGATGTTTTCATGTTTGCAGCATCTGGAGTGTGTGTGTGTGTGTGTGTGTGTGTGTGTGTGTGTGCGCGTGCGTGTGTGTGTGTGTGTCGGTCTGTGTTTGTGTTGTCAATGGTGTTTGAATGCCAAATAAATAATTGGATGTGTGTTTAGCTGCACAACAGGTAAGAATATACTATTAACTGATATACATTGTGTCAGTAATGTCAAACAATCTTAGCTCCACAGACTCGCCACAAGAAAGAAGTTCCCAGAATGCATCATGGTCAGAAATCGCTCCTGATACCTCCAACAGAATCCTCCTGGCTATAGACATTTTTATGGCCGACTAATGTACGTATACCTTCTCTCAGTCTAAGCTCATATTTCCACACTGCCTGCATCACATTAAATATGTATTATTCACTGTATTGCATGCAAGCTTTTCATCAGCAATGATTATAATAAAGAAACAAATTGGCGATCGCTTTAATCCCACTCTTGCACTCATTTCAATAATCTGCAAATTTAGAGATTTGATCAGATCAGCGGTGGAGAGGATGGCTTGCAGAATGTCAAGTGTCTCATTAGTGGTAAATGTTGCACAGTAAACATTAAGCCTAGTGCAGCAATTCAAAGAAGAAAAAAGTTGTTACGCATGATATGATGATCAATATTTAATGCAATGTTTGCAGAATGGGTTTAGTTGATCAGAATGCATGGAATCTAACTGAGGCAGCATCCTGGGCGAGTTAAGTAGAAACCAGAAACAGCGTAGTGTAGGAAGGCTTGTGAAATATTTTTAGAAGAGGAGTCGGGATGCAGTGAGGTTTAGGATGAATGAGCAGGACACTGTGGGAGACACAAATTTAGACAGCACTAGTTTGTAATGGAGGAAAAGTGTAGACTCACTGAAGTGAGCCAGGTAAAACAGAGCAGCTTAAGGAGAACTGAAAAAGTTTAGATGAGTTTGGTTCCTTAAAAGTAAAAAATACCAAAGAGTAATAATTCTCCAAAGTGACAGTCATCCAATACGGATTCAAATTTCTCTATTTCTATTTCACTGCTGTATTGTGAATTAATGAGTGGGATTGTAAACCTGTAGTGTAAATATATTTGAATTCAACATGGAAATGTCACTCCTCAACCCACAAGGTGTTATTATTAATCGAGCAGCAGTAGATTATCAATGGATTCCAAACCCTTCATTTCTATCGATTATAAATCTATTTAAAACACAGGAAATGTTCAACATGGTGGCAAAAGTAATTTGTGCTAAGCTAAATTCGTCAGCTGCTGGCCGCTGCTACATATTGAACATCTTAGAGTGTATCAATCATCTCATTAATTCTTGGCGATGGAAAATTGAGTATTTCCCCACACATTTATCACATATTTCCTTTTAATTACAGCAGCTGATAAAGTAGGAGAGGGAAACTTTTGAGGGGGAACTGCAAACAACAAAAAAATCTGGTGATGGCCTTGACAGGGAACAAAAACCAGGGCACAGATTTGGAGAAGCAACTAAAATTGAGGAGGAAGCTGGAACCTGTCTGCCACGGATTCAGTGACGTGTAGCCGGTCATATTTACCTTTAGCCTCAGCGACTGAAGGGTTGAAACAACTGATGACACATCAAGGTACGATTAATGACTATCATTATTATTTTCATTACTACAACCAGTCTTACAGAAGTAAATGTAATGTTCCTGGTCTCTCTCTCCCACAAGTAAGCCATAGGAATATCACATGTAAACAAATAGTGGCTTTAATTTGTTTCGTGCCATATTCAGCCTTTACCAGATGAGCCATTTCAGGTTCACATCCAGATAACGACCCAAAAAAGGCTCACATTATCTTTGGAGTATTTGGGCCACATTTACAATTTTAGTCTTATTTTGTTCGAGCTACAAGAAGCCAGAAGTTCTATTGCCTGAAGTGGCCCACTTCCATATGCCATCTTGTCATAGTCATGACAGCAAACTTTCTGTGATTGGTTGTACTGTTCCAAACTTGCAGGATGTATATTTAGTGCTTACTGAGGATGAGGATGTAACTCTTGATTAATTAGTGAGTTGAGGATGAGGTCCATTCTCAGATTATTCCTTGATCGATCTGATTGACAGGACATTTTCAAGAGGATTCCCGCCTTCCTTACCCTAACACAATGAAGTCTGATTATTAAATGTTACAGACTGCTGCTGCTGTGTGGTCTGGGCTGCTGAGGGAAGAACTGAAGGGTCAAGCTTAAAATAAAAAGTCGAGGACAGAGCCTCTTCCATGTTAATGTGTAATTGCTCTGAGCCTGTGGATCTGCAGCTAACAGAGCCCATTCATAGCCCGGCGCTGCCACCACTGACCTACTTGCATATGAATCAAATAGCGGAGAGAAAACGAGATAGTGTTTCAACACAGGGACTGTCATACAGAAATATTAATACAAGGATTTTCCTCTAATAACCTTTGAGATTGAGGAGTGGCTATAATTGAAGATATTGGGTTTCTAATGTGATTTGAGGCGACCACCCAAGCATTACTTATAGCTGCATCTCTCAAACATCAATGTTATGTTTCTATGTTGTTGTATTAAGCCTCATTTGGGCCTCATAATAAAGTTTTCATTGAAGAATAAATCAAAAAAACTAATTTTACAAAACAAACATTTCCTATGTTCTCCATTTCAACACGCTAACAAATACGACATTGGAAACCTTTATCTAAATTTAGATCAAGGAGGGAAAACCTATCTCCTGAAACTAATGTGATAAACACTAGTGCACGGCTTGTTCTAAACCTGCCTGTTTGAATTGGGCTGTTCTCTTGTACTGTGTTGAAGCTCTGGAGCTTCTTCAGAATTATTCCTTGTCATTAGTGAATCCTCCACAAACAGTTCTACAATATACTGTCACTTTGTACTTTGTATTGCTTGTGTGCAGAGCTTTTATTAAACAGTCTGTGGTGCAGAGTGAAGTTAGAAATCTGTTCTTTCTACCTGGTTTATCTGCACTGAAGATTTTATTATAGTCAGCATTTTTCATAAAATGAAACTGAATTTTCTTTATCACTGTTCATGTGTGTGCTTTATATACCATTCTGAATGATTTACTGAACTGCTGTTATTTTTTCATACATTGCAAGTCGACTATTTCAGATTAAAAGCTCTGTAATTCAGCCCGGTATAAAACATTGCAGCAATGACAGAGATCATGGTTGGCAGTTGATTCACATTTTTTTATAATGAACATATTGCATGTCAAAATTGCACCAAATTGAATACCACACTTTCTCAGGTAATTTGCAATAAACATGGCAAGTTTGAAGTAGATTAGATGAGCGGCTCATGAGATATGCATTTTGTAGGTAGACAATGAACAAAGGGGAGTTCAAACACCTCCTTTTGTCAGCTATTAGTTTGGTGAACCAAACGATGTGAGGACATGGTCTGCACTTGACTGACAAACTGCACCGATAAACTTCTCAACAAATTCAATTCAACACATCAACTTCCCAGTCTGCTCTGCAGACGCTGTCAAACAGGAGTCCCAGAGAGGAACAAGCTTTATGTAGACAAGCTAATTCATCACCCAGGTGATTGTGATCTGCATGATGGAGAGTCAGTCCACTCCCCCAATCAGAGCCGAGCTGTGAGTTTCAGATACTCCTTTATTGGTTAAAGCATGCCTCTATGGAAAAGATAAAAGTGGGAAAATACATTAAAGAATATAGAATACAAAAACACATTTAATTTCATACATCAAAAAGGCAAAGTTCACATAAATCATCCAAAAGAAATTATCATTCAAGCTGCCATAGAGAAAGAAATGTGTAGAAAGGAGAGTAGAAAACATGGTGCTTAATCAAATAAAGTAAGCGGAATGTATATTGTTATCAGATAATGAATGCATGAGATAATTACTTGTGGGGAGATTGAACATATTCAAATCAAAATAAAAAGGAAGGATGATATCTCCTAATTGCATTTGTTCCAGATGTTACCAATTACAAAAAAGGTTTCGGATCTAAATATGAGTGCCTTCAGGTGATAGGAGTAAAATACTAATTTTGTGTTTATTGTCAATATAAGTTTTAATGTTTTTACCGCACATCTTAATGTGGAACTAGTAATGTGCTTTCGTCTTTTTCTTTCCTTCTCAGCCCAGGTTCTTCTGTTCATTAGTGATTTTTACTAAGTTACCTCTACACTCTGAAATGCATAGAAACAAATAACCACATAGAATAACAATTTACTATAATATTTGAATATAGAAATACTCAGTATAAATATTTTAATGCCAATGTTGACTTTCTCTCTTTAGTCTTTACATCTTCAAGAAGTTATTTTTACAATAGGTCTTTCACGTTGATGACAATTTTCTTTTGTAGAAAACAGCAAATTACAATCATTTCAAGTCATTTCCTACCTCATATCTGACACACATTATTTTTGATGCATTTACTGCAATGGCCAATACTTTAATATATTTTTTCTATTGCTACAGAGTCATGCTTTTTCCCCTATATAAGAGTATCTGGCCGTGAGGTGCAGCTCTGCTCTGATTGGTCCATTCTGAGGTAGATTGAGCCTCATTTTGCAGATTGCAGCCACCTGAGTGATGAATGGGATCATCTATATAAAGCTTGTTCCTGCTTGTGCTGTCTGTTTGACGCTCCCTGATCAGTCTACCAGTGCAGTGTGTGTTGATCCAGCAAATCTGGGTTCTTTAGGATTGTGTTTGTCATTGTCTGTGTTAATGAAATTGGCTGCAGAGCTCTAAGTCCTTAAAAAACCTTTATTATGAGTAAAGATGAAATGAAAACAGTAAAAAAATCTCAGCCTCAAGCCATGTTCAGAGTCCTGTAACGCCAGTCTGCAGTTTTAGGAATGACTCCACCAAGCAG